TTGGACACGTTTCAACTTCCGCCAATACCTCCAACAGAGACGACTAAGTCATCTACTCAAGTAGAACATCCTTCTGGTTCTGTGTGGTTGCCTCGGAGGTCGGATCGCAAAAGAAGACACCCAAAGAAACTTCAAGTAAACCCTCGGTTACGTCGCTATTAACTTCTCCAAAGGGGAGGTGTTGGGATACTCAGAAGAATATCCCAGAAACAATTATCCGGTTAAGTCTAATGCTACCCTTGAACGTTAAATGGTGTCATTTCCCTATTGGTCGTTTCCCTACTGATCAATATTTATTTCGCGTGTCATTTTCCTATTGGTCAATATTATTTAACGTGTCATCTTTCTGTTGGTCAATATTTATAGTAATCCTAACTGTATAAATATGCATTTGTTTGTAAATCATTATTCTGCTGCTCCTGACCCCAAAAACGATTTTTCATCTACGGTTCGTGTTCTGATATATTGGAGATTGGGAACAGTATTGGGGTCGAACTGGGATATCTGAAGCTAGTCAATCGGTAGAATTTAGAGTAGCCAACGCGCGATTCACAATAATATGTGTTATAAAACTTGCGACAAAATGGCTATATTGAAAAAATTCGTTCAGTATTATTGACATATAATAATTATTATATTCTGAAAAATAATTATTATTATTACAGAATTCACGCCAGTTTACAGGCATGATCAATTTGATGTAAATAATAACATTAGACGTGCAGAACAAACATGTGATAGAAGAAAGTTTTAAGTATACTAGTTCAGTAGTTGTTTAAGTAGTATATATATTACAGCGATCCTATGCATCATCCGGGAATTTTTAATATTTCTTAAATGGGCAGCCTGTTGATTTAGGAACGGTGTAATGAAGGTCAATTCGTGTGCCAGATCGAAATAATGATAATTATCTACAACTAGACAAATTAAAACGAAAACAGAGAGCACGGAACAACAAAAAAGTAATTACCAAAATGTATCAATCAGGTTTACTTAAATGCGTGTGTCATGTGACACAGTGATATACTGGTTATGTTATTCAAATTAGTTAAAGTTGCTAGAGGCGGTGTTAACATATTGACAGCAAGTGGGTGGTTTTACTAAGGGAATTCACTAATAAAGATGGCTAAACATTTAAGGTTCCTAAAATATCACTTGTGGAATGAGATACACTTAAAGGCGCTAGACCATTCAATGCATTTTCAGAGGAGCAGTGTGCATCGATGCAGCGAACAAATAGTGGGAGTGATTTTATCGTGCGGATAGATTGTGGTAGGTTATTCCAGAGTCTAGAAAATTTACAGGTGGAGTAATTCATATAAAGAGATGATTTAGAATGAGTTTGTTTCACTAGTGCCAAGGAATTACGGATGTAATAATGAGAGGTTTCTGCTTATTGAATCGCGTAATCGGATGTAAACGATAGTTTATGAAGTGGTTTGAAGAAAAAGATAAGATTTAGTTTGAGTCTCCTCCTCCATAAAGGGTCTAGCCCAAGTTTATTACATTTTGAATTATAAGTTAAGGTAGAATCAGCTCCAAGAATACGAAGTGTAAATCGTCTCTGTACTGATTCCAGCCTTAATTTATCCTTTATGAGCGCACTGCTAAGAATAAACGTGCAGTATTCCAGGAGAGGTCGAGCACAAACTTTGTACATTAGAATACGTGACTCAGTGTTGTAAAGATTTCGAGTTATGTAACCTATTAGACGTTGAGACTTAGAGGTCTGTTTTAATATATGTTCTGTAAACGACAAGTCTTGGGAATATCTAAGTCCTAAGTCTACTACTGTATGTACCCTAGATAACACTTCTCCATTTATGGTAATGTCTAGGTTGAGTGATGTATCGCCGAAGTATATCCATCCACATTTGGCCGTATTAAGCTCCAGTTGCCATTTTAAGCACTACTGTGCTACCTTGTTAAGCTCCATGCTGATGCAATTTTGCATATTTTTCAGGTCATGTGGAGAAAATGAATATACTACTTTAAGATCATCTGAATATCATTGATAAACACTAAAAAGAGCAAAGGACCTAAGACACTACCTTGTATTACACCACTTTGAACAGGGACAGCGTTAGACAATGAAGAGTTAATTTTAACTATTTGATGTCGATTGCTGAGAAAGGAATCAAGCCAAGCAAGCAAAGGATTTTGAACCCCATAAGATGCGAGCTTACCTATAAGAAGTTGTTGGCTAACCATGTCAAAGGCTTTAGAAATGTCCAGATATAGCACTAAGACCAGACATCCTTGGCTACGTAGAGAATAGACTAAATTAAAGAAGTCAAAATGACATGTCATGCAAGAACGATTTCTAAGAAATCCATGTTGAGTATCATTGATAAATTTTCCAGCAAGTTGGAAAGTTCATCACTTATAATTTTTTCCATAATCCTAGAAATAACTGGAGTAATATTTATTGGCCAGTAATTGTTCATGTCAGTTTTATCTTCAGATTTGTACGCGGTTTTCCAACAGTAAGGGTAAGAACCGGTTTCCATAGAGAGAGTAAACGGCTTTAAAAGAAGAAGTGGAATATCTGGGCCACCATATTTGTAGAGAAATTATGAAATCCCGTCTACTCCATGACCTTTCGAAAGCTTAAGGGTATTTATAGCCTTATTAATTTTCATGCATGTGAAGGAGATAGATTTTATTGAGCTGCTAGTCACGCACATAACTCTTGAAGCATAGCCACTTATGTTTTCTACACCATTCGCGAATATACTACTGAAAAGGTCGGCCATGGTTTTAGAGTCGTATATAAAAGTGCTATTATGCTGGATGCACGGTATATCAACATTTCGAGTTGCTTTAGTGCGTTTATTGAAAAGGAGAGTGAAGTTTTGTACTTTCGAGTTAGTATTAAGGGCTAACAGCTCCTTATTAATGGCTTTTAATCTATGTTTCTCTTTAATTTGATTAAAAATTATTGTTATTTGTGCAATTGCTGTGAAGTCTTTTGACTTAAAATAACGATTCTTTAGGCTTTTTAGTTTATTACGATATTTAGCTGGTATATATAATTCGTAAGGTTTACTAAACTTGTACGTTTTAAGAGGTACACAGGAACCTAAACAAGAGTTAATGATCAGATAGAATTCGTCGATAGCATCCATGAAACTATTACATGAAAAGAAGTTATCACAGTCTGAAAGTTTAATCAGTGAATGCAGGAGGTCCCAGTCAGCATGCTTATATGTCAACTATGCCTAATCAGAATTCAGTCCTGAATATCCGTGCTACTAATGTCCAACATTCATCAATATAATAATGTAATATATACATTTTTAAAAACTATCTCTTGTCTTTAATTTTATATCACTATGTAAGTGGTATCTTATGATTGCCTAATTCTGTAGCATTTTGTTAATACTTTATGCGTACATTATCGTAAATTGGGTATCTTCAAACATCATTCAATTGCTTAGTAGTTAATAAAATTATTGATTTCATGAAAATTTATTGTCAATTTTCTGTCATTTTAAGACGTTCTAATCATGTGAATAAGAGTATGGTAGTTCCATTATAAGAACAATGCACAAACTAACACTGTTCAATTCTGTCAGTTAGTTGTTGTTCTCTTTATTTCTCATATGTGTAGACATTTGTGTTTCTTCTAAATTCTTAATCTTCACGTTTATATTTCTTGCATAAAAAACTTCAATTAAGTCATTTAATTCTTTTTTACTCCAATATTCAGCTTTCACCTTTATTGATTACATTAAAATGAAATAGAATCTTACTTTTATTAACTGGCAACTCATGGAGTCAACCAAATCACAGTTAGTAAAGAGAACCAATAACGATAGCATTCTTGACCTCAATATACAATACATTAATATTATATATATATATACTAGTAACAAATTTCATCTCATTAACGACATAATTAAGTTTCAGTATGCAGGTTATAGAGGCTGTTGAACTCTTGTTATCACGAACCAATCTAAGTTAGATAACCATTAAAAACCTGGGAGCACTGTATAGTTGTTTCATCATAGTATATGACTCCTCAGCAGTGCGCATTGACGACCCTACCATTTCAGGATTGAAACCAGGACCCTCGGTCTCGTACGCGAACCTCCAACCTGTAGACCACTGAGTTACCATTCAAAAGTTTTAATGCCTAACTTAAAACAATCTGCGATATTACGCGACTATCTTCCATTGTCTTCGAAGGATACCTTCCTCACACCCGACATGGCTGAACTCTACTAGTCACGCTCCTTACTAGAGCTCGAGTTTGGGGAAAGGATCGTAGACACACAATGCTGAGAAATCACAAGTTATGACGAAACAGCCATTCAGTGCTGTCACGTGTTCATTGGTTTTCTAACTTTGATCGATTTTTGATCTCAATAAATACACAACTAAGTGTTTTTCATGACTTTCTAAATTCATTAAAATTAAGTCACGACTGGAGTTAGTTGTTAAACTGTTTGTCATGAACAGCACAATATCTTGAGTGAATTGAAGTTGAAAAAATACGGATCATTGAATAAAAACCCAGTGGTGTAAAAGTGACATGATCACAACAAAACTTCATTATCTTGGATTTTTGTTCCTAACAGTATTGTAGGTTGATGCTACTGCTGAAGATGAACTAGTCATCTAATGTTCCCTGATTTTTGTGATCGTCTAGCTATAACTAACTCTCGTAGTGTAAATCATTGGATATTTAGTTTTATTTTCATTTCTATAAATATCATTTTAACAGTCATTAAAGTAGATTATGGATTACTATAAATCCTTTCAGTTTTTCTCTTTAAATCACATCAATGCCTGATCTTTTATACGGCTGCTGATATTGTTACTACTTGTGCTATTCTGGCGTACCTCTTGGTAATATTAACGCACTGTGTTGATATAGTGTGACAAGTTCAACGAATGTAAATATGTATCAAGTTCTGTGTTGCATTTGACTAACTGACTGTAATATTTTTAGAAGTCTATCTTATCAGGAATCTTAATTTTGTACATTATTTTAGTATCATTCTGTGGTCAAATTTTGATTGAGTCCGGTCCACTAACATCAGATTTGGTAACTCGTTTAGTTGAACATCGTCATTGGGTTCCAGTTGCAAGTTCACAAATTATTTTGCAACCTGCTATGTATTTTTTTCAACAGTCCAATAAATCTAACAACGATGGTTTAAACAGTAGTAATAATAGTAAATGGTTGTCCGTGAAAATCGATTCTTCAACTGGTCGTTTTTGTGAGCTTATTCCTCCAGGTAGTTTCTTTTTCTTTTTCTTTCTGGTTACTTAACATGAACTTAGATGCAATCAGTTGTATATAATTTCTAGAGTTTTGTACAGTAATGAAATTATAGGACCTGGAACAACTGTGCATTTTATTAATTTTTAAAATTTCATTTAAACACATAAACATTGATGAAAAGGAGCAACAAAATGTATATGCTCCAAATAATAAAAATCGGATTGTAAAGGGATAGAAAAATGAAGGTGAGTATAATAAAAAAGAACAGAATGAATGGAAATTAGTGTATGAAAGTGGAATAATAATGGTAATAACAATAATAATCATAGGAGCAGCAGTTCAGTTAACAAGAATATAACCAAAATAGAATCTTTCAGTTACAAATGTTCCTTTCACTTATGTGAACAAATTAAAAGTAAGTTACAGCACGACCACCACTAACTTCTCTTAACCATGTCTGATAACCTTTCAAGTCACTGTGTTGCACCACCTCTAGAACACCAACCAGGGAGTTATGAAAAGCCGACAGGTCCCAGTCCTGTATAAATTTATTTCATATCACGACAAAATCTTATACATTAACCACCTCTCTGCTTTTTACAACCAGTTCCGGAGTCCGGAAATTATGCATCATGTAGAGTTCGCTAGAACAACATTTGCAGAGCATGTCCAAGCCACCAAAGTTGGGGTTTCAAGATGGTAACATCAATGAAATTACTGTCACTATGCCTAAACGCACACGTCGACAAAGCTTTGCATTACTAGCATGGTGTTGCCACTGAATGAATGTCAGCCACCTATCGGAGACAACGATAATCAAACACGGAGAGTCACTTAACATCCTCAACTCAGAATGTTCAGGTTTCACAACCATAGAGCAAAACTACTCTCATTGACGCATTGTAGTGTAGATCCGATCTCTTACGGCCAGACTAACATCACGAAGGCACCGAAGATGGTCTAGATTGGCATAAGCCACTCTGACATTCATTATACTTGAATCGATCTCATCACTCACTCATTCCACCACTATCACCACTTACAGAGCTATACATAGAAGATACAAAGTACATGCCATATCTATGGACACGAATCATTATCTGATTGAGTACGGATAGCATTTTTAGGTATTATCGCAGAGTGAGGTCTGAAAGTCTTTCTCCAAGTAACACTTTCGTTACACACATTCATCAAAGCTGTTTCCAGAACGTCATTGATGTCAACCTTGAAGAGGAATGAACAAGCCTAATTTGATACACTTCTCATCAGCATAGCCAGTCAAAGTTAAGGATACGAAATATTTAGGAGCGAAAATACCGATGTCAGTGAGAACTTCAAAATAAAATGTATAAAAAGGAATAATAAACAATGAGTACAATGTGTATTTTGAAGTTAATGACGACATATTTAATAAAACTCAAGTGCTTAAGTTTTTCTCACTGTAACTAATTATTACTCTCATTTCGTTCGATTTGGTCCCATCAGTTCACGTACCGTCTTGTCGATAGGTTTTGCTGTTCGAGGATTAATTGAAATTCACGTGTTATCATAAATGCCAAAATGTTTTCCACTAGGCTACTGAGTTACAATATCCACACCACATTGATTGTAAGCTTGTAATTTGTCGTTTAAGGACCAGTTAGTTTATTGAAGCGAATAATTATATGGTATATTATGAGGACTGAGTAATTTGTCTGTTCACCATATCCTGATAATTATTTTAGGCACATATCTTATGTTCGCTGCAGCTGGACCAGAAAATTCCACTTTCGATGTTGCTTATGAGCAGGTGGCTATGGCTCTTTCATTTCATGTCGATCGTTTTAACGGAAGATCACATATTCGTCTTGAAAGAGAATTGAATGAAATTAACTTTAACGGTCCAGATGATATATATGATCACATGCGTAATCATACTGTTGAATCGTCACATTCTACATGCGGTAAAATGTTTTCGATTGGTCACTCGCGCTTAGTAAGTAAATATATTCACTAAATGATATATTTCGACAAAATTATATATGTATTCACTATTCATCCGAAGCTGAAAAACCTATTTCTTATTTGGCAATTTTTGTACCTTGATCAACTAACTTTAAATATTTGTTTTATTTGAAAATGATTTTCATCACGAACTGAATTTAAACTAGAGAACTATTAAGGACTAGGGAACACTAAAAAACTCGTCCTATTCTTGAATTTTTCATTAGTATCCACCCATTATCATCCCATCAGTAGTCGAACCCATAAATTTTATGCATTACGCTAATAGAGTTAATTATGAACTTTTTGGTGAGAATTTGATGGCTCAGAGAGAGTGAGAGAGCAAGAAAGATGTTATATCTACAAATGATGTGATTAATTCCACCCGTTACGGTTTCTCATTAAATCTTTGGGAGACCTTGAACTAACGTTACTCAAAATGTTATCATGTGTTGATATTATATATTTTTTCGTTTGTGTTTCTATTCCAGCGGTACTCAGTACCCTTGATTCTTTTCTATCTTATGTATTCCTCTTACAGTATTTTCATTATGTTTATGTTTTGATTATAACTGATATCATTTATAAAAACTTTCGTCTAAATTTGATTGAATAGTTTCACAGTATTTTGGCGCCGAGTTGATGTGAGACATTAAAGAGGAAGAATGTATTTTTAAATGAATGTTTGTGTTGTTTTTATTGTTCCAGTTAATTGTTTAACATATTCAGACAACTGATTAGAACTGTTGAATATAGTTGCTGTTATTCAGATAATAAGAGATAGATAAAATGGAAGAAGGATAAATAGAAATTCACGTGTCAATATAAATGCGAAAATGATCTGCACTAGGCTACTGAGTTACAATATCCTCAATGTGTGTCCTATCCTAACCTAAGGGCGGCCTGCTTGAGCATCTGGGCTACCTGTTCCTGCCATCTAGATATTTCAACAAGTTATCTATTGTTGTTTGTTTTAATATATCATTATGTTTATTAATCGCATAACCTATTCTGCTGCGTTTCTGAAAAGTGTACAACCTTTCGTTGTCAAAGTTACAGAAAACTCAATAAGAGACAATATGGTTGCTGGCAATATACAACGAAAAGAATGTACATTATTCAGTTGTTCATTCACTGAAGTGCTAACATCTAACTGGCGATTCCTCAATATTTATCGCCAGGACCGACCAAGAAGAAAGAAACGGAAACTTGTTGAAATACTTTGCGCTGAGAATTCTATATTGTACCAAAATTATAGTATTGAATAAAGCTAATAATAATAATAATAATAATAATAATAATAATAATCCACTTACAACATCTTTTCCTAATTTCCTCCTCATTCGGAAGATGGTTTGTTCTCTTCCACAGTAGGCTTTTGCTGATGCTATTCGGCCAACGGACATTGGGTATCTTGCATAGACAATTGTTTATAAATACTTGTACTTTTTTATGATGGTTGTGATAGTTCTGGAATTTTCAGCTCCATACAGTCGAACTGTGTTGACGTTGATATTGAAGATTCTCACTTTGTCTCCGCTTCTCCTCTTCCACTCTCTTACTGGGCTGTTGTGAACTTTAGCAATTTGGGCCAGTACATTTTCAAATTATGTGTTGCTTTACGTACAACTGGTTGAGTGATTCTGCAATTAGGTGTATCCTTTTCAGAGCTAGTCGCTACGGAGCATAAAAGTTGATCCAGGAGTGGTTGCATATGCCTTTTGTCACGGCATCCCAAAAATGCAGACGATACACCATCAATCCGTTGGCCTCCTGTTTACAGCCATTTTCCATTTGATGTCAACTCGTAACGACAACTACCTGTAAACCAAACAATTCTCAAAATTATAAGCAAAGATGGATGATGGCTAGCAGTGGAATCTAGGCCGCTCGTTTTGTCCAATTTGGGACACACAGGAAGCACATGTGTTCCAATAAGGCTGCTTGGTTGCAGTCTTAAACATCATTGGGAAGATTCAAACATACAATTCAAAATGAATTTACACTTCAACCCATTGCACATGCTGGTGGTTATCAGGAATCAGTAGCTAAGTGGATAACGCGATGGCGTTTGAAGCGAACGGGGCTGGGTTCGACTCCCCGAGTGAACATCAACTTCGCGATGCAGGTACGTCCAGCTGATGAGTCCTAAGAAGAACGAAACGCGCGTCCTGGATTCCACTGCTAGCGGCCATCCATCTCTGCTTTTATTACTTGTGACTGAAGGTAATATCGAGGCATTCCGCACAGAGTGCACGTATACCAATAATAAGTGACTGACCAATTGCAGTCCTAAACATCAATGGGAAGATTCATCAAACAATACAAAATGAGTTCCTCAAAGTATTCAAGTTAATCTTTATTTTTCTAAAAATTAGTTATCTTCCTCTGTGCTCTGAAGAAAGGCTTCGTCACGCATACACAAATGTTTACCTTGTGGTAGTCTGGAAGTTGAACTACCAACTTTTGTTGCTTTTACCTAAAGGTAAACCCTACTAAGTAAAAGCGATTATACTGTCATTGTATTTATTTATACAGTTCTTAGAAAACGGGTACTAGGTAAGGATGGCAAATCAATTGATGACGTAGTGAAACTTCATCAGTTGAGATGGCTGGGACATGTGTTACATATGCCCAACCACCGACTGCCTCGATGTGCGATGTTTTGTTGTATAGGAGTAGATTGGAAGAAAGCTAGTGGCGGCCAGACCAAAACATGGCACAAGTCCATGAAGTCACTGACAAGTGGACTGAGTCATATTGGTAGGTGTAGACTATCTGGTTGGGATGGTAGCAACCGATAGTTAGAGACCCTGAATGATATGGCTCAAAATCGTTTGCAATGGCGCAGGTGCATCCATTCTTTGTGTTCTCCCAAGTTCTAATCTTCTGAATTCTTCATGTCCATTATCTTCTTTCCAAATTTATTTCACTGGATTATACTCCTTGAATAACATCTTCAAACCCTAATTTTTCTGATTACAGCTTATAATTTTACTACATCTAGCACTACGGGATTTGAATCGACCACTGCATCTCTGTGCTAATGTGGTGTGGTAACTCGAAATGATGTACGTACGTACGAAGTTCTACGTTGTTACTGACTGACTGACTGACTGATATATTATTAAAAAAACTCATTCATCATAGCAATCTTCACTAACTCCTCTGTAATAAAAATATTGATGTGATTTAAACAGAAATTTCTCTTTTACATCTGTTTGCTATTACAGTAATTTCACTTGAATAATCGCATATTAGAAATATCATGATGCAACTTACTGTACACAGTCTTCAATGTTCTAATTCTCTCTCTCTCTCTCTCTCTCTCTATATATATATATATATATATATATATACTGAATCTTATGTGTTGTTTATATCTTTCCTTAAAATGAGTTCTTATTCCATTCTTAGTCATGGATGTGATCTCATTAAGACCATAATATAGTGGGTATATATAGATTTACTTGAGAATATATTAATTTACAAGCTTAATTTTATAGAAAAAAGATGGGTGTATAACTTTTTTCTTTTCTCATTATTTTTTACATTTTTTAACAATAGGGTGTTGTACGTACGTGTCAATAAAATAGATTTGTTGTTGCTAATAGTTTAAACATATTGAATGAATTAGTGTAGAATCTGGGACAATATTGATGCTTGTCAAATCCTAGCTTTTATATCCTAAGACAAGATTACATGTTTGCTTTGTGACTTGATCAGTTTTCAGAATACCAGTTTTTCCGCACACCAATCTACTGTGCTAGTTAGCATAAAAATAGGTGTTGTGTTGTACATTGTCTGATTATTATGATGATGTACATGTTTCCTATATTCAACTGTAACCCGTTATTTGAATGAGAAGAAAGCTTTATTGGCATGATATGTGTACAATCTCGCATACATATATTAGATATTTAAGTCATTCGTTCAACCAATGATGTATTTGTCGCTCCTTAGGAAAGGAAACCGAACCTTGATCACTAGCATGGGATTATCATTTGACTGAAGTCTGATTGGCCCACTTTATCAATAGACTAGAGAAAAGCTAGTGATGGAGGATAGACCAAAGTTAGATATCAATCCATCGTTGCTGATTGAGTTAAGGTCTGTGGATGTAAACTTATTGCTTGGCATCCACAAGACAATCGTAATGTATGGTTGATATATCATCATTGTGCTAATTTTAAGTGTAGTTATTTAGGCTGATATACATTTGTAGTTGTGCATTGTTTCGAATTTGCCGATTGACAACAGATCAAAAGTAGTTACCTACTTACGCCTGTTACCTTCCGTGAAGCAGAATAAACCGCTCACCAGCATTCTCGATCCAATCCTTCCCAGTTGCTATTGGTCCTTTTCACATTTGCTTCCGATTCCCGACGTAGTGTGTTCTTCCATCTTCCTCTTTTCCGTTTCCCTTCAGGATTCCCACTTAGCGCTTGCCTCGTGATGCAATTTTATGACTTCCTCATTGTATATCTGATCCATTTACAACATCTTTTCCTAATTTCCTCCTCATTCGGAAGATGGTTTGTTCTCTTCCACAGTAGGCTTTTGCTGATGCTATTCGACCAACGGACATTGGGTATCTTGCATAGACAATTGTTTATAAATACTTGTACTTTTTTATGATGGTTGTGATAGTTCTGGAATTTTCAGCTCCATACAGTCGAACTGTGTTGACATTGGTATTGAGGCTTCTCACTTTGATATTGGTGAATGGTTGTTTTGAGTTCGATATCCCCTTAGTTCTCCAATCCTTGCCTTTACGTTCGTGTTTAAATAGAAGTATTACTTTATTGTTAACATATAATTCTATCACAGAAACAGCGTAATTAAAAATTTTTCATTACATTCAATACATTGTTCGATTTTACACTATTTTAATATGCTGATTTAAAGTAGTTATTATAATTGAATGAATTCATGGTTTATTAATATTTTATTAAAATAATCTCACTTCAGTAAAACGATGCAGCTGGCTGAGTTAAAGTGTTTTATATTTTTTAATGTTATGACTTAAAGATACTCACTAGCATCACGTGACGAAAACACTAATAACCTTGATCCAACACCAAGTCCTTATTGATTTTTGATTCGGCAGCTTCTCTCCCTCCTTTGCCCATTGAGTCTAGAACACAGTAATCAGCTTCCACTATAACATCATCGGTAAAAGTACAATGTGCTGACGGCCTTGAATGAACCATTCAGAGTTAAGATGACCCCTCAATTATTTTGAGCAAAGTTCGAATTTCAGTGATAAATAACATGTATGTTGCTCTTAATCAACTGAAAATTGGCAATATTTGGTTCTAAAAATGTTTGAAATCGATGGAAATATCTATTATACAACGATAAAGTAAAATTGGATGGTGCTTAAGCTGATTTACATGACATACTTGCTTCTAAGGCAGATCGTGTGTGCTTAGTGTCACTCATTGCGTAATCAAGTGTTTATTGAAGCTAGATAACACATCCTCTTTCTTATGTACAATTTAGTAGCATAAAATAAATGTTCCAGAATGTTGTGGCGGATTTGTAGGTTACTTATTCTTTAACTAGTTAGAACCTAAATATTAGACTTAATTCTTGAACATCATATCAATCAGATAAATCAACCCATTGTTAAAGATATATTTATTTACTTAATATGTGCGTTATCTCAACTTAAATAAATATTAACTCACTAAACCCAATAAATAGACGAATATTAGGCGATTTCAGTGTACTAAAGATCAAATTGTATGATAGTTTAGGTGGTTTACTGATACATTGATTTCAATATCTAATTCATGACTGGTATTACTTCATAGCCTATTACATAGACTGTTTTAATGATATTGCTATATTGTATTCGTGTAGCATATGAGATATTGTACATCGAACCATTACGTTTAAAGTTTTGTGATGTTAATAGGATCTATCCGAAGTTGGATTTTGTTTGATTCATGTTGTTATTTGGTGTAAGTAACCTCCTTGAATAGTTTATTCTTTTTTTTCGAATGAATCTGTGTAAATGACTAAATATCGTCATATTTTAATGTTAGCTTGATTACGATAGTGTGGTGTATTTTTATGACATAAATGGGTAATTTGCCAGTTATAGACCAGTTGTTTTTTTTTTAAAAATTCTATTCATATAATCCAGAAAAATCACGGTATAATATTAAGGGAAGACATAATTGTGTCTTTTGTTTATTCGTGTTGTTCACTGTAATTCCATTTAATTTTATCAACCTAATGGATTATATTGGATAAATACTATCCGATAACATGAAGAACTATAGAATCAACTCTATGATACAATAATACATGTTTTATTTACTTCCTCTCATTGTGTAATTCTATTTTTAGGGTAAACCTATTTATGCATTTAAAATTGGTCCAAAATACACAACTTTAGAATTCAATAGTGATAGTTTAAAAACATCTACAACTACTAATCCAAATACTATGATGGACTCGGAATTTCTTTTTGATGTGACCAATGATACATATCTTTCAAATAATTCAATGAAATATATACCAAAAATAGCTGTTATTGGTAATCTACATGGTCATGATCGACTAACACCTCAATTATTAATTCATTTTTTAAATTTTTTATGTGATAATCGTAATAGTCAATTAGCTGTACATAGTTTACTTAATTCTGCTATAATTACTATTATTCCAATACCAAATCCTGATGGTTTGTATAAAGCATGGAAAGATTATTCAATGCTATCATTATCTACTTGGGAAACAGGTGAAGCGTTATCATTTGATAGAGATTATTGTCATCATGTTGAAAGGTATATAATTTTATCATTATATATATATTCCTTTCTATGTTTTGTGAACAAGCGTCTCAGTCTAAATAATCTGGAAAAATTCTTTTAGTTCAATATCATTATATTTGAGTAGATGATTGATACGACGCTAAGTTGATTGATGTGCCCGCATCGACAAATTACTCATTAACATAAACTCTATATCCCAACTTGTTAAATCATTGTAAACTATTTGTTTGGCCTCCAGTAAATTTCATAATTCCGAATAATTAGGATTTTTCTAATATGGACAGTAAATAATGCAAACTCAATAATACACCAATTGACGTACACGTTGTTTAAACAATTATCTTGAAGTGGTGGGACCCCTGGAGAAATATATGAGTTCAGAAAAAGCTTGGTATTCAGCAAAAACAGTGAAATCAAAATTGAAATGTGAAATAACTCTGTATGTGTAGTAATAGTCAATGGCCTCGAGAAACAAAAAAAACCTCAGCAAATTAAAGGTGTCGACAGTTAATCATATAACATCAAAGATCATTCAAGGGCCCCCAAATTCCCTGGTACGGCCGAGAGTGGGGAGAGTCCGCTCTCCCTCTCGAAATGCTCTCATATGGCCACGCGTATATAGCCTCTTCCAGGGAAGTCCTACTCACTGCCTTCTCGTGGCGGGGGTGTTGTTTTTGAAAATGAGAAGACGAAAAGCGAATGTTCGGCGCTTTAACCAGATCCCAAACCAATGGTGCACATGGGCTCCAGTATCCTGAAGGAACAAATGGCGTATGAACCAATTGTTGGTCACCGGCTTCCATGGGACTGCATCTCCTTACGATGCTCCACTGCCTTGTGGATCTGACCTTCAGGTCGAAGGCTCGGGGAGTGGCCCCCTAATTAAACCACCTGCTTCGGTTTGGGCACCCGAGCAGTATCACAGCCCTCATATATATCGATCGAGATTTGTGTGGCGCATATGTATTTGGTGCCTCCTTGTACCAATATCTATGTGTTAAAATAATAAATAAATAATAATAATCATTCAAGAAATATGATTTAGGCAAATGTTATTTAATACTTAATCACAAAGCTGGATCACATGCTGTCTCCTTTCGAAATGAATTCCGAAAGACAAACATACTAGTGAAATGATTAAATATGTATATGAATATTAGACAATTAAAACGGTTATTTATGTACAAAATATTCAATTATGACAGAATAAGAACAATAAGATGTACAGAATAAAATAAATTCAGACGAAATTATAATTTATGAACGAATCAACCAGACATAAGATAACAGGTCTTGGATTTTGGCACAAAACCCACTCATGAATTAGACTTCTTCTTCTTCTTCTCCTTATTATTATTATTATTATTATTATTATTATTATTATAATATTTTGGGAACATCTAGTGAACAGTGCCTAGGCTAAACACGAAGCACTAGATAAAGGTAACTAATCGATTGATGAGGTTGTAAACCATCAATAGAAGTATTTTAGATATTTGTTACGTATTCCTAACCACTGACTACCTCGACGGCTGATGTTGTCTGATGTATGAGTAGATGGGAAGAAATCTAATCGCGGCCATACCAAGACACAGCGTCCATCCATGAAAATATTGATCACTGTGTGGTGTGCTACTTATATAGACGTAAGTAGTATATGACGTTAGGAACAGAATGTCTGGCAGCAGTGAGACAAGAGGATCGGACAGTAAAGAATAGAAACAGATTGCAATTTGCATGAAAATGCAAGAACAATAAAGTCTGAGTCATTTTAAGACAATTGATGGACATTTTGCAAATTAAGCATTTACTTTATGGTTCTCAGATTTTATTGAGATGCTCTATAAATTTGTGTTTAAATACATTCGATTGTCCCCACCGGTGTTCTTGTTCACTACAATTGGACTGAGGCACGTAAGTAGATTCAGACTAAATGGTTGAGGTTCAAGTGATTATTGTAACCAGTGTGTTATAACTTGTCGTTAGAGACTTTGAATGACGTGGTCAAAATCGTTCACAATGAGTTAGGTGCATTCACTCCTTTTTTTCCTTTGGATCCCGTGCTTTTAAATTACCTTATACTTTTCTTTAGATCTTCCCTACTACTACCGATACTTTTACAACGCCTACTACTCTGGAATTTGTTCTGAAATGATTTTATCTTGCCGTTCTAATGAAGTGTAGCAATTTGAACCGATGCATGTGTGTTAGGTTCTATGATGAGTAGAAAGGACTGAGTAGTGAAATCTCTGGCTTGGTTTTACATGATATCATTCTGTGCATCTTATTCACTCACCAAATACTGATCACTTTTTTATAGCAGCTAGTAGTATGAATTACCTGGGCACACAAAAATAGTGCTAGTTTGGTGAATGCCTTTTATCTGTTTAATGAAAATATCAAGGCAGCACGCTACCATGTAAATCCTGGACTATTCATTTCAAGAAGATAATAGAATTGCTATAATTTGACATTCATTGGAATTTTCCAGGAAGAAAAGCACCATGAATTCTTATTCTAGAATGTCAATGCTTTAAGTCATACTACTGATTCTCACACAATTTCTATTAATATCATAATCGCTATCACCAGTATCAACAAATAAATTACATAGTGTTTCTTCACTTTTTTAAAATCTTCCTAACTTGAATAGAAAGTAAAGGCCGGAATACTATCCAGGTGCCCAAACTGAAGCAGGTGGTTTTCTTAGTAAGCTACTTCCCGAGCGTTTGACGTAAAGGCCTAATCCAGAAGACAAGGGAGCAACGTTAGGAGATGCGGTCTTATGGTAGCTGGTGACCAACAATATGTCTACGTGCCATTTGTCCCTTCAGGATCCTGGAGCCCATGTGCACTAACTCCGCTAGATAGGTCCTCCATATCCACCAACCCGGTTAAGGCGCCGAACATTCGCTCTTCATCCTCTTAATTTCGTAAATAACACCACCATGAAAAAGCAGTCAGTAGGACTTCCCTGACACTGACTATATAGGTCTGGCAATGTGAGAGCGGTTCGAGAGGGAGAGCAGATTGTCCCCACCCCCGACTGTCCCACTGATTATGACTAACTAACTACGCCATGTTGTTGATCGTTTATATCTTGATTTCATCAAAAACACATTTAAATGTTATAATTAAGTTTTCGTATAGTTACTGATAATTGTTTTCTTTGTTGAATCTCATTTGATTATTTTTATTTATTTACGTTTATTGTCAATCTTGTCAAGCTCTTCCAGTGGCAGTAGAAAATTGTTGACTGGTTATACGAATGAAGCTGGCATAGATTTATGGGAACAATTGATTAGTAAGTGTATCGTTAATGATTGTACATAACTGACCATTTTTGTACTCATTGTAATAATTGTAAATTAAAATATTTATATCATTAAAAATGATGAAATTATTCACCTATTCAAGCTGAACGGCTTGGCGTGTAAAATTTTAGAAGTTGATTTGTTATTTTCATTTCTTGTGGTCAATTTTAGCTAATTAGATTTTTCGAGTATGATTTTCCCAGATTTAAGATGGTGGTTGGAGTTAGTCTACAGGATACCCTGCACGACCTAGATTCCGTGCTATTTGACACTCATCAGCAGGACTTACCCGACACTATGCTACCTAGTTTCACTGACTGATACGTTGCCACTGAGTTATTCGGGCCGTGACTGAACTCCGGTAGGACTGAGAAATATTTACAATTGGTTGATCATTGAGTAATAACCACTGCCATTTATGTGGCAACGTCTCTGATTGTGAAGCTGGGTGACCCTGAATCGAATCCGTCATGGAGCATCAGTCTTCTTGAGATTTACAGGTATACCTTGTTGACGAGCTTCTGACAGTACGAAACCTTGGTTCAGGGTTTCCTGTCGACTACCTCCAACCACCACCTAACATCTCAACATAGGAGACTGAATGTTGAGTTAGCTGAACTAGTGACCATACTGCAACTCGATCGGTAGAACTCAATCAGCACTAAAAAAGACATGACATATGTGACCACTCAGTGACCAAGTAATTGTAAATCATTTTCCAGATTTCCATTTGATTATATTTCAGTATCAGAGGCAAAATTACTCTGATGTTTTACTATTTAAATTTATCAATCAAACTATGTGAAGTTATTTTTAGTGACTGAGCGATAAACATAAAAAACTGCTTGAGAGAAGTTGACGGTAATTCCTTTAAAAATTCTTCAGGAATGAGAAAAAATATCTAAAATCGTTTGGTTCATCAAGGTTGTTTGTAAACTGAGAAGAATTTAGAAAACGACTCAGTTTTACTTTGTTAAACCTAATTGGACCACTGTCAACATTTTGAAGATCACTCTTGACATCTTTTCTCGATGATTATAGGATCTCAAGGTCATCTCTGATAGTACCCTTGCTTTCTATATATAGTTAGTTTTTCAAAATAGGGTTTCTTCTATATTTCCCTCCTTGTTTTCTGTTCATTGTCCAACAGTCAAAGGTTTTGAGAAACCAAGAATTCTTTTTAATTCAGTGTCTAGAACGTTCGGTGCACACGATGTATGACTGCTAACTATTAGTTGGATTATAACTCCGTAGTTTATGCACTTGATTATCAGTTTGGTTTACATATCCCGTTCATATTTCCAGTGGTCACTGAGGTTAGCGACTTCACAACATACGTGATTGTTTAAGTTCTATTAGCATCAATGAACTAGACTACATGAAGATGGTCAATATAATGTGGTTATTCGACGTTTTATCGATTCCATTTGTAAAAACGTAATCGATAAAGTATAGTTTGTTAAGGAACTTTTTTTATCAGACGTTATACGTTCCACTATTACATTGTATGGTTCTGTAACCGTAACTCAATACGGGTCTATCGCATTCTATGATATATTTTTAATCTAATCTTTTCTGAATCCTTGCGATTATTTGTAACCTGTTCCAGATGGATTATTGACAATGAATTTTAATCTATTTGAAACTCAAACGTTGTATATAAACAACACAGGATGTGAAATAAATGAGTGTCTAATTTGACATACATCAATGCTGTGATCATAAAAGAAGGAGAATTCAATAGATGCCAACAACATCTTTGTCGATATAAATTAGAACAATTATAGAACCTTAGAGGAAAATCAAAAAATTAATGGGTCCATCCAAAAGCAACCAATTTTGAAATTAATATAATCGATTGTTCAGTTGTTGTTCATCGTTTCAAATGTTCCGACAGTAATCCTTTTACCACCCAATACAGCTCACTAACTTTATGTATTAATATTAGATCTTGTCTAACTCATCCTTAACCATTTAAAAAAAAACTAATTTAGCGTCTAACGAGCATAGCAATATGGAGAGTAGTAGTGATAGTACGTATCTAGATTTATGTAACATAGATTGTAATGATTTTAGTGAACCAAAACTTTAACTGTTAAATTCACTCAAGTTTTCAGATCAAACGAACACTTGTACACAAATAAGAGAAGTGTTCTTGGCTTTATGTTTCCTCATTCCTGTTATTTGTCTTCGATTTTTTTTAAAGGGTTTATATGTATATATATATATATATATATATATATATATTATCAATTTTAGAGAGGAATACTAATAGTAATTTCAATATTGCCGTTAAACAGTGTTTTATGTTGTTTATTCAAGGTTTAACCGGAAGTAATTTAACATTTAGTCATCATTGGTGGTGGGAATCAAAATCGAAATTAGAGTTTGCTTACAAATCACTTGAACCAGAGAATATAGCTCTTCTTAAATGGTTACAGTTGTACCAAGCAAATTCCATCATAAGTTTTCCAACTGATCAACTATCTGATATTAATTATGATACAGGTAAGTTATCTAGTTTCAGAATCTTTTTGAAATATGTTTAGTGATTGCCCTGATACATTTACTAAAGCTATTTATTTATTTGATTTTGATTTTGAAAGCTTATCACTTTTGGTCGACAATTTGCTAGGCATATGCATGTAGACCTTCTGATCGGTTTTTATTTACAACTTCATGTCTTATCTGAAACGTATCAACTGAATATATCGTCGTTTGATGCATTTTTCTTATATGTTTGTATCATCTTTCATAGAGAATGATTTACTAATTCTTGAAAATTTTCACAGAAAATTATGAATGGATGGCTTGCTGCTTGAAACTTGACTTTCAACTACTCCGTCTTAGGCTTAAACCAAGCTTTATCTGCTTCGGTTTGGATAGCTAGGTACTTTGACGAATCCTTAAAGCTAAATGAGTGCATGAACGTATATTTAATAAATGAGTTACATGTAATAAGATCGGTAGAAAGTATTGGTTTCTTTCATTTTAGTAATCTTCCATAGGTATGTATGTCGGAAGTTCCTGCTTCTCTAAAACTCTATGTTATACCGTGTAATACTGTGGTTAACAATATAACTTCAAAGTCTGTGAATAGTCAGTTGGTTCTCCATTAGAACATGTTTTGTCATTATGTATTGAATAGTCTCATAATACTATCTTTAATAATGACGTTTTTGTATTTTTGTGGGTCCAAAATTTGATTTTAAAGTTTTCCTGTTCACTTTTTTATTCAGTCAGTGAATATTATTGTTTATGCTCGTCATTCAATCCTAATAGTTACAGAGTTCGGCACGAAAATATATGTTAGCTGAAGTGGTCATACCACATTCTCACGATGGGATGAATACTTCGGCGTGTATTCGTTACGACTATTATAATCACTTGTAAAAGTGTATACATATATAAACTAAATAGATTGATGACGACCTCTAAAACGCTAGTACGTGTTTTTATCTCTGTGACAGTATGAGTTTGATTGGGTTTATTTGATACTTTTCACTTATGAATAATAACAATGAAATTAAATCAATTCAAGTTTCCTATTGATTAATTCTTATATTACATCATATCCATGTATTGAGCTGTAATGATCTCATTGATCAACTATAATTCTTAGTACTAAAATTGTACTCACTGGTTTATTTTAGATCCTACTGAATCTGCTTATGGTCGTGATCTTTTATCGGAAAGTTATAATTGGCTACGATTTCTTGGTAAACTACTCTCTCCTAGCTTTCATCGTCCATCTGCTATGTGTACACTAATTTATTCAATATCTTCAGAAACATTTCCAAAAATTTCTGATCGACGTCGTAGACCCAGTGATTTTCGTATCCAATATGTTAATCCAAAAAAATCCATAAATAAATTTGCTAAATCAGCTGCCTTATCACTTGGTTTAATTTCTATGAATCCAAAATTAGCTTTAGAAGAAACTGAACATTTTCAATTACAGTCAAGTTTATCATTTTCACCACCATTACCAATCATGATACCATCAAGTATTGGTTTGACACTTTGTCCAGGCTGTTTTTCTCCTAGTCCATCAGGTGTTGCACGTATATGGGCAGATTATAGATTTCCAAGTTTAATGGCTGGTTTAATTGAGCATACTAGTTTAATTGGACTAGGAAGTTTAGGACTGATAGGTCATGTTCGTGTAAGTCTGTTATTACATTGATAAGTTATTGAATTTATATTTCAATTTGCAGTATTTTTATCTTTATTGAAATATAGAAGTACCATTTTTTCCCTTCGAGTTTATCTATTTATTTAATTCTTGTAAAAGAACTAATATGAAACTCAATAACAATGATCTAGCGATGGAATACTTCCAACCTTTGTTGCTTGCTTAATTTCTATATGGAAAGTAACAAAGGTCTTAGGTTCGACCTATAGTGAGGTTTTGAATACTTACTGAAGAGGAGTTTCATATCCGCACAAAATAACTATACAAAAACTTCGTGTTTTCAAAATGGTGGTCTAGTTCAAGTTATTTCATGATGTAAATCATAAAATGCAACAATCTTCATAAAAACCTTATACAGTAATAATCAAAATGCTGCCTATAGTTCATATAAATTATGTTTAATGACGAATCAGTTCACTGAGTTTGGTAGTCATATGGATGCTATTCAATAACTTTTAGCATGATTCTAGTCGAATCCACTCCCCAATGTCTGAAATAAATGATAACTCCACTCTGTTGATATTGAATTTAATGATGCGATTTTATAAACCGGATGCCTGTTTTCTTCTTCAAATAGTTCTAGCGTGGTGCTAGCCTGTAAGCTACCGAAATATCGTGGATTTGAGTCATGTTAATAGGTGACAGATTGTTGTATTCTATTTTGATTTTTGCCGAACAAATACTTATCTATTCATTCAACCAAATGACTACTTTCATTAAGTTTAGGAACAGGTAGTTAATCACAAATTTCTGTATACTTCAATAGTATAAAACAGTTACATTATATAATTTATTTGTTTGTCAACTGATGGAATAGGATTTACGTAGATCGTATTTCACTCTTAAGTCAATGTTGTTCACTCGCTTAAAGCTTAAAAGTCTCTCTCTATGGCAGTGAACTACTTAATTATCATGCATATTATTCGAATATACCATAAGATTGGTAGAAAGACAATTTTTATTTTAAGGAATGCAGTACCGCATTTGAAGTGATAGCTGCATGTTTCAATACCTAATTTGGATTACTTATATCTTAGGCTTTGAAGTTGTTAGAGAATTTTTCATCATCACATCTATCTTTCGAACAAAATTGTAGGTATATCCAAATAGCTTTGTAAAATCCCAACTATCCTTTTCTATAGTTAGACGCATTGGGAGTAAAAAGGGTTAAGATATTTTCGTTCATGTAGCAATAGCATAGATTAAGGGCCCATGATTCTTAGAATAGTGTTCAATCTTTCTCCTTGTAGGACGTAACACTTAGTGTAAAATTCTAATTTTTAAATGTAAATATGTTACATATGAGTGACGATTGAAATTCTAACGTACTAGCACTGATAGGCTTCTTTGTAACAAAACTCCAATTTTAAACTTTGTGAAAAATTATTTAACATTAGTATAAATGTGTTGGGATATTCGGGAAAATGTCCCAAAAATTATTCTGTTAAGTCTAACGCTATCCTTGAACTTGAAATGGTGTTGTTTTCTTATTGGTCAATATTTATTTCACGTGTCGTTTTCCTACTGGTCAATATTGTACAGTGTTATTTTCTATTTTATGGTACGATGTGGTCTGCTTGGTTGGTATATAAACAGAGTGTGTTTGAAATATAATGATTCATATCTCCAAGGCTGAGACTTGCGTTCTGGACTCAACTGGCTGGGCTAGACAGGGAAGCGGGACCAATCAGAACCCTAGGTTCTTACGTGTTTGCGCGTCTTTGGTCCGATCGATAATTCACTGTCCTCTAACCTGCCGTCACAGTTATAGCAAAATGATTTATAGATATTTCAGAGTTTTCAAAGTTTATGTCACGAAGTGATCTTATCTAGACCAACATTAAAAGCCTGGAAGAGTTGTAAGGACGTTTGATTGTAGTATGGGACTGTTCAACAGTTGGCATCTACGATTCTGCACGCGAGATTCGAATACTGGACCTTTGGTCACGCGCTCGAACGCTTAACCTATAGATCACTGAGCTGGCACCTAACTCCGTTAGTTTATAACTTCAATCAGTTTCGGACAGAGGTTAATTTCTCGCGCGCGAGACTGAAGGTCCTGGGTTAGATCCTCATTCAAGTTCGTAGATCCTCACCGCTAAGCTATCCCATACTAAGACAAAGCGTTTGTCCAACGCTTTCAGGTTTGCAATGGTGGTCTAACTGAAAGCAGTTCGTGATTTAGGCTTTGATAATATTTATCTGTCGAAGTTTTTTTTTAAAATAATCCCTGTAATGTGATTTTGATGCTTCTTTTTTTCCGAATTGTTTTCACTAGGATTCAAATGATCAACCAATACCCTGGGTTCGTATACATCTGGATTATGTTCGTAGTGAATTGTCTACTGGTTCCAGTGATCAGAATGGTCATTTTAGTATGATTCTACCGCCAGGAAAGTATCGTTTCACATTACGAGCTCGTGGTTATTTAGATCTTAGTGAAATAATCAATGTGGATATATTGAAAAGTCCTATTTATCATGTTTTTTATATGAAACATGTTGGTGGTTTATCTCCTGCCTACCGTTTATATGTAGTTAGTATGATTGGTAAGAAATCAATTCATATTCGAGCATGTATTTTAAGTCACGTTTACCCTAAATGGTATATGTATGTTATTATCTTTGTGTCTTTTTTGTTTTATACAAAATATTTTGTCGAAGAACTGAGTAAGAATAAGAAACTGTGTATGAATAGTCATGTCCTAAACACAGAGAAGTAATGAAATACTTTAGTGTGAGAAGGCTATGCGTTTATCTAGTGCTTCACGACGTTTCTAAACTCATCGTACGAATCACATATACCAACAAAATAACTTCCGTTTGAGTTTATGTCCTTTCATTATTTGCCATAGTTTGGATCAAAATGCGAATACATGGATTTGTGCATAGTTATTGACTCAAAAAAATTCAGATCATTTTCACAAGAATTTACTGAGATCCTTAAGGGACTAAAAGATAACTTGATTTTTTTTGAATAGACGAATAAAATAGTCTCATAGAATTTATAATAGATTTTCTCTTCAAAGCAACTGACTAATCTCCCTCAACATTCATTATAAAATTGTCAAATTAAATCCCAGAGTAGTACAGATAGTAGCAGTATTACTCGTACTAGAAAAGATTAAACATCGAATATACAGTTTGATAAGGAATATGAATTGGTGTAATAAAAAGAATTTATAAGGCGTTTATAAACTATAGATCTAAGGAAAGACAGAGTGAATGCACCTAACTCATTGTGATTGGTTTTGACTATGTCATTCAAAGTCTAACCATTGGTTATAGTATTCACTTGAACCTCAACCACCCCTAGATTTCTTCCAACCTACTCATACATCATACAACATCAGCCGTTGAGGTAGGCGGTGTCCTAATCTTTACCTAATGTTCCGTGTTTAACCTGTGCACCACTCACTGGATGATGTCAAAATACACGGGCGGCCAAACCAAGACGTGGCATCAATGCTTGAATTCACTAACTTGTGGTCTGAGCCATGTTGGTAGATTCAGACTACTTGGTTGGGGTCAGCGCGACTATCGTAACCAATGGATGGAGACTCTTGGTGACATGGCTCAGAATCAGTCACATTGGCTTAGGTGTATACACTCTTTGTCTTTCCTTAAACCGTGAGATTAAAATTACTTTATACCTTTCTTTCTACGAACTAATTATTTCTCCTTGTATCATATCCTTATATGCAATCTTTCTTTTATATATTACTTCCATTGAAGTAACTACTTTATGAATTTGGTGTTTATCTTGTCGTGCTAATGAGATGTGGCAGCTTGAACCGATGCATATATGTGCCTGGCCCTATGTTGTAGCTGACAAATGAATGACAAAATGAAAACATGGCTTACGGAACAACAACTTCAGAAAATACTGTGATATGTTTATCGCCATATATACGCTAAATTGTTTTGTGATTTAAGAGCTAAGAATGATTATTTAAATTAAATAAAATTCTCCGTTGAACAAGAATATGACTAAGAAGTTTATCAATATCTTGAAGACCGGATATACGATTACCTTAGGCATAATAAGTGCATGCAACCACCTCTCTACAGTGTTTCGTTCAAGCTGTGGGGTTAGTTAAAGTTGCCTAATCTCACCAATAGTTGTGTTGGATGTAGGTAGCGGTGTTGTGGATCTGCTATTCGGAAAAAACATTTTCGACCTTGATCGTGCGGATGATATTGTCCTTCTGTACGATCACACTCAAGCCATGCAATACACACCTAATTAGATGACGATTCGTGTCCATAGATATGGCATGTACTTTGCATCTTCTATGTATAGCTCTGTAAGTGGTAGTAGTGGTGGAATGAGTGAGTGATGAGATCGATTCAAGTATAATGAATGTCAGAGTGGCTTATGCCAATCTAGACCATCTTCGGTGCCTTCGTGATGTTAGTCTAGCCGTAAGAGGTCGGAACTACACTACAACGCGTCGATGAGAGTAGTTTTGCTCTATGGTTGTGAAACCTGAACATTCTGAGTTGAGGATGTTAAGTGATTCTCCGTGTTTGATCATCGTTGCCTCCGATAGGTGGCTGACATTCATTCAGTGGCAACACCATGCTAGTAATGTAAAGCCTTGTCGACGTGTGCGTTTAGGTATATTGACAGTAATTTCATTGATGTTACCATCTTGAAACACCAACTTTGGTGGCTTGGACATGCTCTGCAAATGTTGTTCTAGCAAACTCTACATCATGCATAATTTCTGGACTCCGGAACTAGTTGTAAAAAGCAGAGAGGTGGTTAATGTATAAGATTTTGTCGTGATATGAAATAAATTTGTACAGGACTGGGATCTGTCGGCTCTTCATAACTCCCTAGTTGGTGTTCTAGAGGTGGTGCAACATTGTGACTTGAGAGGTTATCTGTCAGACATGGTTAAGAGGAGAAATTAGTGGTTATCCTGCTGTAACTTACTTTTAATTTGTTCATATAAGTGAAAGGAACATTTGTAACTAAAAGATTCTATTTTGGTTATATTCTTGTTAATTGAACTGCTGCTCCTATGATTATTATTGTTATTATTATCATTGTTATTACGATTATTATTCCACTTTCATACATTAATTTCCATTCATTCTGTTCTTTTTTTTATTATACTCATCTTCATTTTTCTATCCCTTCACAATCTGATTTTTATTGTGTAGAGCATATACATTTTGTTGCCTCTTTGTTGCAACATTTATGTACTTAGATAATAGCAGTAATAATCTAATTAACTATGAACAATCTATGGGTAAAGTATCAACAAGTAGTTTAGTTTAATAATTATACTCAGCAATAATACTCATCAAACATTTATTATCCCTTTAATTTCATTAGCGGAGTGATATATAGTCACTATAATAACGTTTTTATGTTACTATCAGAAGAGTGATACTCATCGATATAGCGTACAAATTGTGTAAGTATTTTGTTTTATGAACAGATCATAGGAGATTATACCCAAATCTTGATGATTTACCTGCAAAGTAATATACATAAATTGCGTCAATGTGAAATGAGACAATTTTACTTTTGATGAGGAGATCATAATATAAAAATTCGGTAATTCTACGGCGAAAGTAAAGTATAACTTATTTTATATTTTGAAGAGAAAGATTAGATTTTATTGAGGTTCTCACTTCCCATATATGATCTGTTAATTATCGGCTAGTAGAAAAAGAGTATCGTTCTATTACAGTTCTTTAAAGCGTAATTTGTGTTTGTTTCTTTCGTGTGTTATTTTTTTATTCTTTTTGTATGATAAACAACACTTCTCAAGTGTATTTCTTCTTTTTACGTTTGTCTTGCTTTACAGCTTCAATAATTGCGTTATTTTCATGTGGTCTAACCATATATCTGTGTTATCGTTTCTGTTGTTACGCTCGTACACCATATGCAATTGTACGACGTTCTGCTGGTAAATCAGACAATTCAACATCATTATCATCAAACAATCAAATTAAACGTGGACCATATTCACTTCTAGCAGTAGATGATGACATCAATCATATCAGTTCTGATAACAATTCGGATAATTGCTTAGAATCCATGTTAAAGCATAGAAGTGATAAAGAATACAATGCATATGAAGATAGTGATGATGATGATGTTGATAATATGAATGTGGTGGACAAGGAGGACCCAGGTGATCATGAAATAGTCGAGTATGATGTTAATATTCATCAAGCTAGTAAAATAACCTCATTAATTAAAACAAAACTATTTAATCAGCATAATAAACGTGTTACTAATCGTTTACACAATAAAACTCGTAAATACATTCCAAATTTATCGAAATCACCAAACAATAATGATGCATTTGAAGAAGTACAACTTGTTTAAAAATAAACAAACAAAATAAAACACAACTTATATAAGCAACTCACATCGAATTGTGTTATGCATTCCTCGTTATTTTAATGAATTATTGTATTCATGAAACCATTCCTTTAATTCTTGTATCTCTGTCGTGTATGTGTTCATATTGTCTAATAATCACCTACAAATTATAACTTATATTTGTTGTTTTGTTTATTTAACGATTAAAAAAAAAAGATAATAAGTCATTCACTCATAACATTGTGATATTCTCCACGTGTTTTCTTTAAGAATACTCCTCTCTTTTTATGTGAATCCGTCTTTTTTTAAACTACTTATAAGTAGTATATATATATATATACTGCTGAAAATGATTTTGATGTCTTATATTTTTTTCTCTCATATAAACATACACACATAGAACGAAACAAAAGAGAAAGTTATAATCAGTACAATTTTACTCATTTCAAATCATCTTTTGAATAAAGATTATTAACTGGTGATTTAGAAAACATTGACCATTCACCAATGAATATGCATACATCAATGATAATGATATTCTTTTCGAGTTTTTCTTGTTTTGTTTTTCTTTTTTTTTATAGGAGAAAATATGCAGATAATAATTTACATTTTTATTTTATGTTTTTTGAGTTTGTTCAATGTTTGTTTCCTTTCTCTATTCATTCCATTTTTTTCAAAAACAAAAATTATTGTCATATCTTTTGTTTAAATGAATACATTATGACATTGTGTATTCACTTTTGGATGATGTATTTTAGTCGTTGTATTTTATTTTACTGATATTACCTTATCTCTATGTTTGCATTTATTGAGAAATTTTTTTAAAACTAATGTCTTTCTTATACTAACTATGTATGTATGTATGTGTGATTTGGTGTAGTGTAGTGTAATTTCCATTATATTACTGTTATTCAATGTTGTCAATTGAACTGGCACTGTAAGGCGAATAAACAAAGGTTACAAAAAAAATCACTTATCAATTATTATTGTGTTCTGTTTTTTCGTAATAAGGAATGAAGTTTCGAAATGTCCGGGAAAATTTGTTACTTAGTATTTTATAATGGAAAGGATTGTTTAATGAAATACTAAACGAATTGTAGTCAATCGAACTAGAAATGTTATTTATTTATTTATTTTAACATATAGATAGTGGTACAAAGAGGCACCAAATACATATGCGCCACACAGATCTCATTTGATATGTGTGAGGGCTGTGATACTGCTCGGGTACACGAAACGAAGCAGGTGGTTTTCTTAGGACGCCACATCCGAAGCCTTCGACCTGAAAGTCTTATCCGCAAGGCAGGGGAGCATCGTGAGGAGATGCAGTCCCATGGTAGCCGGTGACCAACGATTGGTTCATACGCCATGTGTTCCTTCTGGATCCTAGAGTCCATGTGCACCGTTGGTTTAGAATCAGGGTTTTCCAACTCCCTTGGGTGGACTCTCAATGACCGCCAACCCAGTTAAAGCGCCAGACATTCGCTTTTCGTCCTCTCAATTTCGTAAACACCACTCGTTGTGCGAGAAGGCAATGAGTAGGACTTCCCTGGCAGAGGTTTTATACGCGTGACCATATGAGAGCATTTCGAGAGGGAGAGCGGTCTCTCTCCACTCTCGGCCGTACCAGGGGATTCGGGGGCGAACTAGAAATGTACTCGTTGAATAAGGCTCATAAATTCGAACAAAACAAACAAATTGTAAAAACTGAGGAATAATCGAGAATGTTTGTACCTCAGTATTACAGTTTTGAAAGTCTCGTGTTCTCTAAATAGGGTAGTTAATTCACAAACTCACTTTTTTCTGGATGGCTGTTACTTACAATGTTTCTAAAGCCTAATAACTTTGTGTTACTTCCGTGTATCTTCCAATCGTTATTTAGGACTGCAATTGATCAGTCTCTCGTTGACATATGTGCATCCTGTGCGGTTTGCCTCGATATTACCTTCAGTCACAAGTATTAAAAGCAGTGGTGGATAGCGGCTAGCAGTGGAATCCAGGACGCGCGTTTCGTTCTATTCACGACTCGCCAACTGGATGTACCTGCATCTCAGAGTTGATGTTCACTCTGGGACTCGAACCCAGTACTGTCCACTTAGCTACTGAACATCCAGCTGATGAGTCCCAAGTAGGTCGAAACGCGCGTCCTGGATTCCACTGCCAGCCACTATCCACCTTTGCTTAAAAAGCCTAATAACTTTGTTTTTATCAGCTTTTGGCCATTTGTCTAATAGGTGAGTCTTTGGTATTGAAGTATAATTTTCCGTAAGAACGTCATTTCAAGAATCCGAATTTGTAAAAAGCTGAATTTTTGAACATGTCAGTGATTAGTAGCATACTATGACGAAAAAATAAACCTTTGAATGAAATCTCATAAAAATTACTCTGATGTACAAAACACACGCTCATTGAAAAGAAAAACGTTGAAATGTGCTTAATTCAACATGCCCATTGAAATCATTAGAAATGAAAACTACCCCAAATTTTGAACAGAAGACATATTCGATATAAGGACACGGATGCTAAGAAATTATATGTTTTGATAATTCTGTATGAGATCAAAACATCACTCTCATAGAACATCTCTGTTAAATGCTTATGTAATTCAAAGTGATGGTGAAAGTCAGTACACACACTTGACAAGAGTGAACAACCATGGGTATACATATATATCCTACTATGCTACATCTGTGTATATATTTAGGTGAGATGTCTAAACTTGTTACACCTGGAACTTTTGTACAACTCGCCAATATATTGAAAAGCCATTATTCCTATTTTGTGTAGTGACATCAGTTGACGATCATTCAGAAAACAAAGTGTGGTGGTTGTATTATCATTGTGTCTGACATTTCGTGCGATGGCACTCAACATATCAGACTGAACCAGATCTAGGAAAATCATCTCGTTGAATTGAATCGATAAAAGTAATTTGTACTCAAGATTATTTTTTTCTTCAAAGTGTAGACTTCTCTGTAACTGTTGGTGACAAGAATTCAATGAATTGTGTAATTATTCATTTAATGAAACATGCAACCAAGATTGTATGATTTTCAATCAAAACTATGTCTCAGTGTATTAAAATCACTATTTTTTTTATTCTACACTGTACACTACTCGATTAAATCGTGATCGTTATCTTTTTCAAATGATTAATTCAGAATAAAATGACCAGTTTTCAAATATTATTGTCATTTAAGATATTCCACGTGATCATTGTGTCCGACAATTTAGTGAGAAAGGGAATTGCCACTTTCAGTGTATAGTTGAAGACTGTTTAGATGAAATCTTCATGTCCATAATGAATATAAGTTTTTACTACAAACCTAATTTTCTGGTTTTCGCATTTATTATATTCAGGTAATAAGTCGTACTACAGTCCGATAGGTAGCTTGCTGATAGAAAAACGTCTGATTTCGATGGATTCTGGTTTCAAAATAGAAGTTGGAAGATTAAAAAGCTCTGACTAAACACAATAATCTGTGGCTGTGACAGAGCGTTTCTTTTCGTCAAGATATTTCCGTCTTATGAATTTGTCAAAACCATGTACAAAATGTTTCATTGAATTTTCAATTATCATCTATTCACAATATTATGGTTATTACATGTTATCAAGATCATGAAGATTTTGTCATCAATCAAACAGAAATTTATGTGGACATGAAGCTTGTTGAAACTCGTTGATAAAAGGCATCTGAGTTTTTGTGAAGACGTTCATTCTATATGATAAGTAGAAATGTCGATTAAGGCAAAGATCTTGAAGTTACAATTGAACCGTGCAATTATTAAGTGTGTCGAACCTTCGGATAAATGTTAACCAGCAATAAAACTAGGTGTTGATTAATTGTGAACCCTACTGCGATCTAGAGGAATTTTAACAACGTGATACCAAACACATATACATGATGATTTTCTGTTGTTCGGATAAAGTATCTATGCATCAATTGTGCTTTTGATTGGATCGAGTCATCGCAATGTTTATACGGCTTATCCATAGAAGTATGTTGAGAGTTCCATAGGCTGTTAATCACAAGCAACTAGTTGAATGAATATACTAGAATTCAATTGATTTTTTGGTGAAATAGAATGCTGACTAGTCACGGAGGTGGTGATCAAAACTGACTTGGGTACATTTATAATCAAAGTAGAATACTTGGTGTTTGGTGGATATCAAGTTTTTGATTCCATAGAAATTTGAATTACCATGGTCGCTCACTCTTATCAAGTGTGTATGTGTGTATTAACCTTCACGATCACTTTGAATTGCGCAAACATTTAGAAGAGATTTTCTGTAAATAATAAATTTTTAATATCTCAATGAGTAGAAAAATTGAGTTTTCTGACGTTTCTTGACTCAATGTAAGCCACTTTTTCTGAGAATGTTCTACAAAAATGACCCTTTTATTGCATACAAAATTATCAAAACAGATAGTTTTTTCGAATCTGTTCCATGATGTTTGAAATCTTTATGTTATCGTTTATTGTACACAATCCATGGGTAATCTATCAGTGAAGGCACCCGACGTATGTTATTGGTTACAAGATGAAAATGTAAACATGGTCTCAATCGTATGTTACAGTTCGTTTATCAATACAAAAAAGCGTTAGTAAGTCGAAAGATCACTTCTTTCGTTTCTCTTTCGTCTCTCTAATATTCCACAAAACCACTTTTATTCATCATACTCTAATAGCCACACATGAATCCTTGAGTAGCATTTATATATAATCAATAGACTACTCATAATTCTAGTAGAGAGACCGTTTGAAACTTAAAAGTAAGCAAACTTGCGTCTGACAACAGATACGCTTTTAATAAAATTAAAGGATTGGTTGGTAGGCTAAAAATCTTCACTTACTATGATACTAAGTACATCCGCATCAGAATATGGGGGAATCTCGTCATAATGAGTTGATGAATGATTACAGTTAGTTAAGATTATGATAAATTCGATTGTTCGAAACATTCCGAGGTCAGTTGGGAGCTATTTATTGTAAATTATTGTTAAGTTTGTTTATATTCTGTCCTAATTCGCTTCCGACCAACTTTTTTGTGTATTGTTTTATGCTACTCATCAACATTCAGTAAGTAATTTTAGTAGTTGAGATTATAAGTCAGTTGAAGCTAGACCACCATGGAGAACCTGGAAGCACTGGACGGCCGTTTATATATCATCTTAGAATAGAACTAGAAAACAGCGATCAAATTCACTTCTTAATTACATAATTATAACCGTTTATTCTAATTCATTTAATAGAAGACTCAACTTTACACGGTTTTGTCTAATGATCGATATATTCTTTTTCGTTCAAATTTCTGAAACCGAAATCATTAGTCTCCAATAATAAGGATAGCTATCGACTGGTTAAGCAGAATTCATTATTAACAACACTTGGTGATTGATTGAATTGATCTACATGTCGTAAGTAGGAAAATTACTTCACGAAACCTAATTTGTTGATCTTGTTGTTGTTGTTTGTTTGTTCATTCTAACACTTTACAATATAAACTTGAAAGTATTCTACAAAACATTCAGTATATTTAATTACTGATCATTGATAAATTGATTACAACATTGACGATTGATTTATAGTTAGAACATTGAAGGAATTCACGAAGGAGGTAATTACCTCAAGTTATGTATTTAAGTAAGAGTAATCGTTAATTAATTGTGTCAAAATGTTCTCAATTCAACAAGGGAATAAGGTAATGACAATAGAATATTTTAAACAAATAATATGGTGATTTTATTTGTTAGATTATCTTCAATTATTCAATTTATTTGTGTATATTTCTAATCATCAGTGTTGAATGTCGTCACATGAATAAATATGGTGAGTAATTTGGTTTAACACTTCTATATTTGTCTAAATTAATGTTTCTAGGTGATAGAAAATCTAGGAATAGACCTAATCTAGAACCAGATGAATCACCAATAATGGTGGATGAACCGGGTAGATAATTATTTTTTATGCATGTAATCATTT